TCAGAGGAGGCAGAAGCTGTGCTGTTAAGTTGCTGAGCCTGGCTCCTCCTCTGTTTCTTTGAGAATCATCGAGGAAAGTTTAGAAACACAACTACTTGGAGGGGAGATGACATTCAGACCTGCTCCTCCCCTTCAATAAACACATTCTGTCCTGTACTCCCATCCACACCCGGTTCCTTCAGCGACTTGGATGGACAGGCTTGCCACAGAGGGTGATTGGTGAATAGGACACTTTCCTGAAGCTACCTGCCAAAGGGACACCAGAAAACTTTCCGTGCTCCAAGTTGAGGCGGAAGCCCCAAATTGAGGCCCACAGAGGATGGCCGGAAGTCACAAGAATACATTTGCACAACCACAGGCACATCGGTCAGAAGGCAGGGAGGACCAGAGGGAGGTGGTATCCAGTATTTTCTAACAGGGAACTGATCAAGGAACACATTCAGTCTCATCCTTCCCAATACTCGAGGCTGTCGCTTTCCATCCATTCTGAAAGACAGCAGCATTTGAAACAAACCAGCTGGCAAACCATGCCCAAGAGCCACATCATCTCAGATTCACATTTCTCAACAGGCTTTCTAGTTCTCAGCAAATAATATCCTCCATCACTTGGCTCCCCCGCCACCCCCCAACACACACACCAATCATTGGGGGGAGGGGAGAGCGATGTCTAGAGAGACTGGTGGCATCAGATCAGAATTCAAGGCAGCTTCCCACAACTCTCTTGTTTATAGAAAATGAATGTCTGCCTGGCTTGCTTTTAGTTCAGGAAAGGGGTCAGTCTTTATCAGCAAGGTTCACACAGATCCTGGATCCCCCCCACCTCCTTATCTTAAATTGACCCGCTTTTAAGATAAAGCCATAATAGAGAAAGCATTGACCTTACCTGGTCCCTATTGAGTTGGAAGTCAGAAAACCCCGCTCTCCTCTCCTCTTAGCTCGGGTCGCCTGAGAAGAGACTCGGCGCTACCTTTTGTGCACCCGCGACTGGAGAAGGCCGCTCCTCCGCGCCCAGACGCCCGCAAGCGCGCTCTGAGAGTGTGCGACCTCTAACGTCTGAGGCTTCTTCCCTGGCGTCTCAAAATCGGACACCCCAGTGCCAAGCCCTAGGCCTGTCCCCGCCCCGGGAGGATTTCGAATCCCCTGGAAGGCTCCCGAGCCAGTTTTGCCCTTAGAAAGGCCAAGCCCTTAAGCAGTGAGAACTGCCTCCGGCGAAGCTCTAGGAAGTGGAGCGCGCGGGGCCTCCCCCGCCTCCAGGAGTTAGGGAGCGTTTCTTGCGGAGTCGGCTCCGGCCTGGCTCTGATTTCACTCCTGGGCCCTCGAGTTACTTCCCACCGAGCCGGCCCGGGTCCCAGAGCCTGTGTCCGGGCTGCTGACGCATTCCCTGCCCCCTCCCGCCTTCTGGGCCTGGAGGACGCCAGCTGTACCCGATTGTGTCCCTGTTGGGGGGTGGCGGCAGGCCGGCCAGCCCCTTCTTTCCTGCTCAGAGGATCTCTGTCCCAGTCTTCACGCCGCCCCCAAGCCCGGCCAGGCCAGCTGAGAGGGTTGCTTTCCTGCCTCTCCGACCCACACCTCCGGGCTCCCAGGCTGGGGCGGGGTGGGGGAGTCGCTTTGGGATGCTAAACATCAAACAAGCCAAGCCTACGGTTTCAGGCCCCGAAGCCACTAGAGCCGCTCTCCAAGACTCTCGAGAAAGGCCTCGTGTTTACACGGCAGGGGTGGGGGTGGGGAACAGCAGGAAGGGGGGTGGGATGCAGTCTGCAAAAATCTCCCCCATTTCCCGCAGCAGCCGTCGGGACCTCGGGATGCATGGGGCGCTTAGGTGGCGGCGCTCAGCTCCTCGTGGATCTGGGGGCAAACTGCGCGGCCCCCACGCAGGGGGAAGTTTCCCCATTAGGGACATCCCCAGAAAGCTGAGTTCTTCTTAGCAGAGGCCAGAAGCTCCCCGGGCCAGCGATGCTGGAGACTTAGGGGAGGTCCATGAGTGAAGAGGACAAAAGACCGCAGAGGCTGACAGGGTGTGCGGGTAAAGTGGATCTCCAGTCTTTGGTGTTTTACTGAGCCCAGCGCTCACCCATTTCCCTATCGAGACGCTTCAGATTGCCTTCCAGGGCCGCTTCCTGCAGCTACAGCAGTCTCGCGGCCAGAAACGGAGTGAGTGGACCCCGCGTGACCGACGGAGAGAAGCGGCCAAGGCCCTGTTCGTCTGGGTCCTGTCTGCAGACACGGCTCCGTTCGCCCTTTTCCCGGGACCAGTAAACAGACTTCCAAATTAAGTCAGCTCTAGACGGCGGGGCCGGGGTGGGGGAGAGGAGGGTGCGTGGAGGGGAAAGAACATATTCGGTAGTAACTCCATCCAGGACAAGGGTAATCAGACTGAGTGCCATAGCTCACTAGAATTGTGAATCTCAGTGGCCCGCTCCGCAGCCAGTTGGGGTGGGGTGGGCAGCCCCCCTGAGCGCCCGCCCCGCCCCTTCCACGCTCGTGTGTTGGGCGTGGGGGCAGGTCGAGGGTAAGCTCCCACTCCACAGAATTCAGAGCTTAGCTGTAACATCTCCCCTGCCCGGCGGGGCCTGACCTGGGTGATTTAACCACCTTCACAAACTGCCCCGGGGGCTACTGCTGCCCATTCCAACACCAGTGTTCAACCTGTCCAGATTTTCCTTTGTTTTCCAAAATGTGAGGCTTCCTGAGAATTCTCCCAACCATCACACCCTCTAGATCCAACCAGTCACCCTCTTGAAATCTCTGAGTCTCTTCTAGATACTGAAAACAGTATCTCAGCAGTCAGACACGAGAGAGAAAGCCGTCCTCGTCCACAGTTAGGGCACCACGAGAAGAGTCCCCAGAAAGTCAACAGAGAAGACTGCTGGTGCTAGCAAGCGCCCACCCCCATTTTCCTTACAAGTTCCTGGGGCTTGAGGGTGGCGATCCAGGAAGACAGAGATGGAGTCAGAATGAGCTGAAAAAAAGAGGAAGAAAAGGTAGAGGCAGGCGAGACAGGAAAAAAGAAAGTTGAAATTCTAGGCGATAAATGAGTATGTGCCAAATAGGATCACACATTCCCCTCCCCCCATTCAAATACTTTCAGACCTAGAGAAAAGTGCTGGCAGGGGCTCTGTCCACGGTGCAGTCACTTTTCCTGTAGGTACATCAGAGATGACACAGAAGGAGCAACAGATTACCTAGAGACTACGACTTCTGTCTACACCTCTCTTTCTTCCTCCCCTCCCCAGAGCAACTAAGAGGTCCCCAACAGCTATAGCAGGGTACCAAAGAGACTGAGAAATTAGAGGTAGGAAGAGAGGCCAAAGGTTTTTTTCCCTCCCAGGGGCGGATGTTGAGGGGGGATGCGATGGGGGAGAAGTGGAGAGCTGGGGACAGGAGAAAGACTCCTTGCTACAAAGATTTAGGAGGCCAGGAGCCCAGAGATGAAAATCTTGGAACAAAGAGCAGAAAGCCCTGCCAGGGGTGTTCCCAAGGCCAGCAGCCCAGTCAGACACCTTCCTGGGCCATGAAAGCTACGAGAAGCCGCTGCACAGCCTGTGTGGGGGAATAACTGTTTTAGAGCAGAGACGAAACCCACGACTTCCCCACTTTCTCAAAAACAATCTCGCACCACATCCTAGTCCCAAGGAGGCTCTGCCAAGGATTAGAAATAATGTTGAAACCTACAGGGACAATCCATCTATAAAAATAATTGTTTATTCGGGATTCTTTAAAAAAGAAATGTCCAAGGTCGACTCTTTTAAAACGTTGGCTCAGCTGTATAAGACCACAGTATATACTTCTGTGGTTTTAAGACACAGAAGTCTGGCTTTGAAAACTAGTCCTTTGGTGTCTTTCTCTTTCTTTTTCCTCCTGGTGGAAGTAGTTTAGCTTTTCTACTCTCTATTGCCTAATCTCAAGACTGTTCAAGGTTTGGTTCGACTTAATTCAGAAGCAGAACAAAACTCTCTCTTCCCGTGGGGCAAAGACTCTGGTCTCAGCCTCCTCACTGGTTCAGGATCCTTTGAGCCCCCACACAATTCGAATCCTGTCCGGCCAATGCTGAGCCACTCCCCCTACTACCAAAAAATGCCATTTAAAGCCAAATCAAAACCAAACAAAAGATGGGGTTTTTAATCAGAAAAAGAATCCTTTTAATTTGTATAATTTATTAGAAGCCTCTTAGGAACTATATTTAAGCCAGATATCTACATAAGTTACAACAGAAAAAGACTGACGCTGCAAATACCAAACTGCCAAATAATATACACAGATTTGTCTTGGCCCATAAAAAATATAATGGGCTGGGGATGGGGATGGGGACTGGTTTTTTGTTTTTGCTTTTTACAACAAAATGTACAGATTGCTAAAAACTAAGTGTTTAGTCCAACTTTTGACAGCGTTTTACAACTACAAGTTCACATCAAACATAAAACGATTTTAACCAGGGCGGGTCTCAGCTGAGCCTGGGTGGCCAGAGGGGGCAAGAGGGGGCATTTCCTTTGTGTCAGTGGCAAGTGGGTTCCGTCTTTTCCTTTCCCCAGCCCCCTGTCGCCCCTTCAAAGAAATCCCGGTATTTACAAGCGAGTCCACTTTCCTGGCACGGTGTACCCAGAGTGAAGATTTCGATCTTAAGTGTCCAGAGCCATGTCAGCGTAGAGCCGTCTCCAAACTACATCCCGCCCGAGCGTGGGAAACCCATTTGAATCACCCCAAAGACACCCCCAAAGCGGTTCTTGTTATGTCCTCTGTTTAAAGACTCCTTAGAAGAATTGGATTCGCTTGGTTGTTTTATTTTCTTTAAAAAAAAAAATCCTGCACATTTTAGAAAAAAAAGGAAAGAAAAGAAAGACGTCCAGCAGTTTGGTCTTTGTGTTTTTTCCCTTGGTCTCAACGGGACAGGTTCTTAAGAAAAGTCGAAGCGCAGGGTGTAGCGGGTGGTTGGTGGTGTGTGACCGGGCAGGAGGGGGAAGCGATGAGACAGAGCGCTGGGCTAGGCCCGGCCCGGCGTCCTCTCACCAGGTCCGACCATATAGCAAGGTGGAGCAGGACATGGTGCCGTAGTCCGAGCCCGAGGAGTTCAGGTGGGGCAGACTGGAGACCTGGCCCTGCAGCGCCGCGGGGCTGGCGGCGTGGTGCGCCAGGTCCGGAGACTGGCCCGCGCTGCCCGGCTGGTGGCCCGGGTGGGCACCCAGGCCGGGGCCACCGCTGCCCACTGAGATAGCTGCCGCGGCCGCCTGAGCGGCCTGCGCCTGCTGCTGCGCCTGCTGCTGCGCGTGGCCTTGCAGGCTGGCGGCGCCCGGCGCGGGGGCGCCCGCCTGGCAGGGTTTGCCGTCTTTCACCAGCACCGGCACGGCCACGCGGCGCGGGGACTGCTGCTGCGCTTGCTGCTGCTGCTGCTGGCACCCCGCGCCCCCGCCGCCGCCGCCGCCGTCCTGCTGCAGTTGCTGCTGGGCCGCCTTGTCCTTGGCTTGGCGCTTCATCTTGTAGCGGTGGTTCTGGAACCAGATCTTAACCTGCGTGGGCGTCAGGTGGATCATGCTGGCCAGGTGCTCGCGCTCCGGCGCGGACAGGTACTTCTGTTGCTTGAAGCGTCGCTCCAGCTCATACACCTGCGCCTGGGAGAAGAGCACCCGGCGCTTCCGGCGCGGTGCGCTTGGCAGCGGGGCCATGTTCTTGCTCACGTCCCCCAGAGAGCCCAGGCCGCCCATGCCGCTCATGTTCATGCCGCTCGCCGGGCCCATGAAGCGGGAGACTGTAAGCGACAAACGCATAGCGTCGGCAGGGGCCGGGCCGGGCCAGACCCCCTCTGCCGCCTGCGCCCTTGGCCAGCCCGGCCCGCCCCGACGATGCCCTTCTCACCTAGGTCGCCTCCACCCTGAGAGGCCCAGCCGCGGCGATCGCCGGCGCCTGCCTCGAGGCCGCGCCGTCGAGGGGGTTTACTGGAGAGCTCCCCGCCTCAACCCCGGCTACCTCCCTCAGTCTCGGTGCTTTACCCAAAAAAGCAGAGTGGAGAAAGCCTTCCCTGTTCCTTTCCGGATTCGTGGGGTTAGCCGGCAGCAAACTGGGCTCAGGTCCGGAGCCGGGGTCTAACGGTAGACCCCCAGCTTTGGGAGCTTGGGAGAGGGAGGTGTTCACTTTCGAAAGCTTGAGACCCCAGACTCTTTCTGCCTTGGCCACTGTCTCCTGTCAGCCCGGTGAGGGCACTGGCTCTGCCCATTTAGAATCCCGTCTGGAGCCGCGCGCCCTCCCACCTGCCTAGCCTGGAGAGTGGGCCAGGCCCCGGGCCTGAGCGCGTCCCAGCAGGGCACCCTCCCTCCCGGCCAGGCCGCGCCTCTCCAAGCTCTGTTCACCCGGTTCTCTTAGCTGGGGGGACGCTGCCTCCGTGCTCTCCCGCGCCGGAGCAGAGCGGCCAATTGGCCGCATCTGGCAAACGCCAAATACCAGCTCCTGCCCTCAGGACCCCAGGACTACCGAGTCCCTCTTCTTGGACCCCTCAGCTCAACCAGGGCAGACTCCCCAGCTCCTACACCCGACTCCTTGGCGCCACTGCCCGGCCGCCCACCCCTGATGCCCAGCGCGCAGCCGGCAGGCTCCGCGCCTTCCCGGCAGGTCTTCCCCGCGCCTCCTGCGCTCAACCCGCGGCCCCGCGGTGGGGCGGCCTCACTTACTGGCGGGGAAGCGCGGGTCTGGGTTGGCGCCGTACCATCCGGGGCCCGAGGCGCTGTTCCGCATGGTGTCCTGGTACGGCGGCAGCTCGCTCATGTTGCCCAGGTTGCCGTTGCAGTAGCCCCCCACGGCGGAGTGCGAGAGCTGGGGCACCCCCGCCGCCGTCATGTGGTAGGCGGCGGTGACTGCGCCGTGGTGCCCCACGGCGTGCTGCTGCATGGCCGCGGCCGGCGGTGCCGCCTGGCCCTGCCTGTAAGCCGCCAGCGGAGCCCCGAGGCCGCCGCCCTCCATGCCCACTTTCTTGTAGCTTTCCTCCAGGGGACTCAAGATGTCAGACACTGAGAACGGAGTCGTGTGCTTTGGACTCATCGACATGATTCGGCGGCGGCTGGAGGAGGAAGGAAGAGGAGGAAAAAAAAGGGAGAGGGGGAAGGCGAAGCCTCGCTGCTTTTTTTTTTTTTTTCTCCCTTTGCCAAATATTCTGGTGTTACCTTAACGCCGATCTTGTTGGATGTACACGTAACCGAGTGGACCGAGTCCGCCTTAATTGGCTTGAGTGGAGGCTCGGGGGCTGCCTCGCGTTTGTTTTAGCCCGGCGCCAGGTTTTAGGCAGCCACCAGAGGCGGGGCGTAAGCGCTAAAGCAACAAGACAATAGAAGCCTACATCTTGCCCGAGATAATTAGCTTACATGCTGATGACAAGGTAAACACCTTTAAGTTTCACTTGTCAGGATTTTTAGGTCTCAAAGAGGGAGAGAGAGAGACAGAGAGAGAGAGGCAGAGACGCGACCCAAAGCATTTCTCCCCCGGACCCCCTACCCTCATTTTTGTGGGGTACGCTGGCGCGCGGGAGGGGGGGTGCGGAGGGGGGGAGGAAAAGGAGGAGGGAACCGAGGGAGGGGAGGGCGAGAGGTGGGATGGGGAGTAGCCGAGGAGGAGGAGGGCTGCTGGGAGGAAGGAAGGTGAATGCTGCTTTGCAACCAACTTGCGGAGTTACAAAGTGAACCACTTTCCCGTTCGGTCGGGGCTCCCGGGGCGGGGACAGGGAGTGGGCCGAGGACGGGGTGGGGGTTTCACCTGAGCCTGCCGGGGCCGTTCCTCCCTCCCGCCGCGGCCTCCCAGCCCCGCGCCTTCCCACTGCCTCCGGACCACATCTGGCTTCGCGGCGCCGAGCCCCAGTCGCCACCAAAGAAGCTCGGGAGTCAGGGGCCGCACCCTGGGGCGGCACTGTTGGTCTGCTTGTCTGTCAGTCTGTCTGCCTCTTCTGCCGCCGTCAGAAGGACACCTCTGCTCCCCGCCCCCTTTCCCCCCTACCCGAGAGAGAATCCCAGCGGGCGGAGGGGGCGCTGAGCAAGGGGGGATCGGCTGCCGCCGAGAGGCTGTCCCAGATCCCCGCGCCCCTCCTTCTCCCCAGCTCAGGGTCTTCTCAGAGGCCCAGGGCCTTCGGCCTCATGCCCACCCCGCCCCCCCAACCCCCACGCGGCTATGCTTCCCCACCCCCACCCCAAGCTAAGGCAAGGACCCACCACTGGCCGCCCGAGCTGAGAAGCTGCGAGAATTCATGCGAAGGGACATCGCTGAAGTTGCTCCACCTCGAACAAACCTGGTGTCCCCGACCCTCGCCCATCGCCCAGACACGGGCAGGTCTGGGACGGGAGCTGACTTTCCGAGGACATCACAGCCCCGCACCCCAGCCCGGGGTCACATAGTTTTCCCCCCTCAGATGCTTCAGGGAGGCCTCGGGCAGGGAGCAGCGTGAGAGTCAGCTCGCCTGTTGCAGGCTGGGACGGAGCCTGAACCCCGGCTGGGGCGGGGGGCGGGGGGGGGGGTGCGAATCCCCCGGCGTGAGCAGCCCCGCGGGCGGGAGGCAGGGCTGAGGTTTGCCTCCACCCGGAGCTCAGCCATGCAAAAGTGCACTTGCTTCCCGGGAATAACCAAATATCTTTGTTTAAAGTGGCGGCGTAAATGGCCAGTCGCTTTGTGGCCACGCTGGATATTAGTAGATGAGGATCATTCTGTTTCAATTGGGCGCCTCTCAGCCGGCTAGCAAGAAACTGCTTAGGAGGAAGTGGGTTTCCTCTCTGCGCGTTCCCAGGCTTCAAGTGTGAGCCCCGCGCCTTGAGGGTCCTTGGGCGCCTGGAGAGGAGGAGCTGTAGGCTGCGCTTTCCGAGCCGGCGGGCCGGCCGGAGGCATCCGCCGCGCGGCTCCGGCCAGGCCCTGGCCTGCAGCGGAGTGGACCACGGAGCCGAGCCCTCCGCCGTGCAGATCCTGAGACCCGCTCCGACTTTTCCTCTTGGATTTTAAACGTTTTGTTTTTACTGTTTTCTTTTCTCTTTGGCTGTTTCAGCCTCCTTTTCCGCGCTGGGGGTTGGGAGGGCGGAGTGCTCCCTGGTCGGGCAGGGGCCGCCAAGACACTGCGGGGGCCGGTTAAGGAGGCTTCTCGATTTGGGTTTCTGTTTTCATATTTTCTTTCCCTTCCTTGTAGAGGAGCTCCTGATCATGAAAAGGCGCTTTTGAACGATTTAATTCAGCAGGTTAGATGCCTTTTCCATTAATAGTGATTATACTAAGGAAACTTTTTTATTGGCTCATTTCAAGATTTCAATCTTCCCCTTGAGAACGGCACTCCCTCAATACAAAGCCAATTTACATGCTAACATTGTTTCCGTGCCACCCATATTCCTTAAGAGGGGAGAGAAAGCTCAGGGTACCCCATCTCCTGCCTACAGCAGAAGGCCATGTTTCCCAGCCCCCTTGGCCACTTTGGGGTAGGCAAGCAGGAATTTGAGGGTCGAGACAGCACTCCTCAGTTGTGCTTCGAAAGACGGGTGCCAGGTCAGCTCATTGCGCTCCCCTCCAAGAGACTTCTCTGGGGGGCGCTCTCAAGAAGGACTCAGACTCCCATCGAGGGTGCCTTGGCCAAAGTGATGCCTACTTAGGCGAGGAGGGAAGAGGATGACTCTGGGTCCAAGTGAAAGGACAGAGGACAACACTGTAGGGAGCAGACAAAACTGAATATAGGTCTTGTGTGCAGGCCAGCCCCCAGCCCTGGGCCTGCCCCTCAACTAGGGTCTTTATGCCAAGGTGGGATGGGTCTCCGAATCTCGAATCTTCTCTCCTCCCTCTCCATTATTTTATATTATTACTAAATGTAAAAAGCACTAGGTGTAGAACGTTGTAGTCTCTCCTGGTTTCAATGCCGTTTAGAAATGGAGGTCATTCTTCACTAGGTCTTTTTAAGATACAAGACAGGACACATGAAAGTACTAGCTGGGTGAATCTTCCGCAGTCCTTGAGCCATGCCTCCTCGGCATTCGTATCCTCGCAGCTTTCAGCTCCGAAGCAGGCACGTGGCTGACAGCTCCCCGCCCCCACCCCAAGCTTACTGTGGGGAAAGCTACCGTGTAGCTGGCAGGCGTTGGGTTCGGGCACTGAGCGGGAGCGGTAGCTCGTGGGAGGGAGTCTAGGGTAAGGGTCCCTGCTCCCCCCTCCTCCCCGCCGCAGCCGAGATTGTGCTGCGCGCGCTAGCACCAGATCTCGTCTGGACTTGGCCTGGGCCATCGCAGCATCTTGAGGCACCTGCCTCTTCTGCCCCTACACACACACACACACACACACACACACACACACACACACACAGCTCCGCACCTTTCAGATGCGCTTCGCTGCCAAGAATAAGCCGTCTTGTGGGGAAACGGCGGATATCCTTATCTCCGTGCTGGTCCAAGTGAGAGTCCCTCACCTGGCCCCAACGCCTCTTTCTGACCAGAGGGTTCTCTTTCAGCCGGCCTCCCCACTCCCCCGACTCATCTCAAACAGGGCAGACCGCAGTTATGCCAGCAGTTTCTTTAGGGGATGCTTGGGAACACGAGTTCACAATGTAGGGCCCGCGCATCTTCCCTTGTCTTTCAGCCAAGGTGGGGCGGTGGGGCAGGCTCAGAGCCAGGCG